GTCTTATATATTTAGTATTCTGAATCTCTAAATAAAATTTGGGCAACAATCATAATTTTTTCCTCTCTTATTAACTAATAACAACTTTAACAAATTTATTACATATTTATAGGGAATAATGCAATTACTTCCTCTTGAATATTCTCTGAGTTCATAATATTTTTTGCTGTTCAGTTCTAATTTTGGTATCTCTAATTAGCTAATTATAGTACTCAAAAAATATGTTGAATTGCCTAATTTTTACATAGCTGAATTTAAATCTCTGAGAAAAATTAATAAAAATTTAGAACAAAAAAACTAACTAAAATAAATTAAAAATATTTCAATCAATCAAGAAAAAAATTAAACACTTATAAACAACAATATTCTGATAAAAATACAATAAAATGTCAAAGTTAAAATATCTATCAATCCAATGAACCTTACCATAATATTATTTTTTGCAAATTATTATTTAATTTTATTATTTTTATTATTATATATTATTTAAATAATCAAAATAAAATTTCATTTAATTCTCTTTGCTTTTTGACCCATACACCAACTTTTTAACCATTATTATAGTAACCATCATAGATCGTTTAGTTATTATTAAAATTCTCATCCACTTCAATCCATTATCCAATCTTAACACCATTACCCTCTTCATCATATGATCCACCACCACTAATACGAATGTAGAAGTAAACACTTTTTATATAATCTTTACATTTATTCAATTGGTTTGCGGTTGTCTTTTCTATACTCAATATCCCATCTACCAAATTTTTTACAATTTTTAAATTTTCCCTTGTAAACAATTTTAGGAAAACTAAAAAAATTTAAATTCATATCTTACACTATAATTTGTTGAACTTTACAATTTTCAAATATATCATATAAATTAGAATCTCTTAATGATATAGATTATATTTTACTGCCAATAATAATTATCTTAATAATAAACTAATAGATCCCAAAAACCAACTTTTTAACCATTATTATAAACACCAATATAGGTTTCCTATTTTTAATTATCAAATTGATCATCCAATTCAATCCACGACCCAATTTTTTCGCCACTACCCTCTAAATCGTATAATCCACCACCACTAACACGAATTATGTAAAGAATTTTTATATAATTTTACATTAATGAAGATTGCTGACTGTCATCTCTTTTAAATTCAATATCCCATCTACCAACTTTTTGACCATTAATATAAAAGCCTTTATAAGTTACTTGTTTATAGTAATTAAATCCCTCATCCAAATCAATCCACTTTCCTATTTTTATGCTGTCTCCTTCATCATATAATCCACCACCACTTAAAAATTTTAATTGGGCGCTTTATACAACCTAATTTACATCTCTATAAATGCATCTTTCAAAGTATCTCGATAATAAATATCCCATCTACCAATTTTATGACCATTTCTGTATTCGCCTTTATAAGTTATTTATTTATCTTAATTAAATCCTTAGTCCAAATCATTCCACTATCCAATTTTATTACCATTCTCTGCATAATATCCATAACCGCTAATACAATATTAGAGTTGACTTTATATATTATATTTACATTTCAATTTAAGGCTATTGATTATTATAAGAAACACGCCATTTACCAGTTTTTTGACCATTTTTATATTCACCAATTATAAAAACTTATTTATCACAGAACACTGGATAATGCAAATCAATCCATAACCCACGCTTAATACCATTCCCTCTTTCATCATATAATCCTCCACCACTAATAGATTTATCATTTTGCTCTATATATATGATAATTTACATTAATTTCTGTTATTAATTTCTACAATATATATCCCATCTACCGGCTTTTCTGGAATTTTTCTATTGCCCTTTATAGACTATTTCTTACTAACTAAATAAATGAACTTTTCAAATTATACTTTTCTTTTTGATATATTTTATTTCCTAATAAATCATAGACCACAGATCCCCTAAAGATATGATATATTTATATATTACTGCCAAAAATATTCTTATTATTCATGATATTAAAATTAATCCCATTAACCAATTTTTTTACCATTTTTATATTTACCTACAATAATTAGTTATTTTTTAATATCAAATTTCTCATCTAAATTAGTCCATTCTCCAACTTTGATACCTCCTTCATCATAATTACCACCTCCACTAAGACATTTTAATTGCATACTTTATATAAAATATTTTACATTGTTGTAAATTCCCCTGTCTAATTATTTCTATAAAGAATATCCCATCTACCAACTTTCTTACCATTTTAATATTCTCCTTTATGAATTGCCTATTTTTTGTCATTAAATTATTCTTCCAAATCATTCCACTACCCTCTTTTAATACCTAAGCCATAAGTACCACCTCCACTAAGACATTTTAGTTTCATACTCTATATAACATATTTTACATAATTGTTATAGGAGAATTGTCTAAATAACGAATATCCCATTCACCACATTTTCTACCATTTTCATATTTACCTTTCCAAGTTACATATTTTTTAATATAAAACCATTCATCCAAATCAATCCACTACCCTCTTTTAATACCTAAGTCATAAGTACCACCTCCACTAAGACATTTTGGTTTCATACTTTATAAAAATATTTTACATTTTGTAAAAATTAACTTTCTATATTTTTTTAAAAAATATATCCCATCTACCAACTTTTTTACCATTTTTATATTCACCATTATAAGTAACTTATTTTTCATAATAAAATCCCTCATCTAAATCAATCCACTTTCCAATTTTCACACCATCATTCCCTTCATATAATCCTCCACCACTAATACATTTATAATTTCGCATTTTAGAAAATATAATTACATTGATGTAAATGATTGACTGATTTCTTATCTAAACCAAATATCCCATTTTCCAATTTTTTTTCCATTATTATATACACCAATGAAAATGACTTATTTATTACAATTAAATTCCTCATCCAAGTCAATCCATCGTCCATTCTTAAAACCATCCCCTCTTTCATCATAAAATCCTCCACCACTAATTCATTTATAATGATTCACTATTTAATATATTTTACATTAGTTGAAATGCATTATTCTATTTATTTCTAAAATAAATATCCCATCTACCAACTTTTTTACCAAATTTATATTCGCCATTATAGGTCACTTATTTGTTACTTCTAAATTCATCATCTAAATCAATCCATTTTCCTATTTTAATATTATTCATTTCTCCTTCACTATAATAACTTCCTCCACCACTAAATATTTAAAAGTAATGTACATCTCAATATTTTCAAAAGTATATTTCCATCTTCCTTTTTTCTTATTTTCCTGATATTCACCTATCTCAAATACTTAGGATTGACTATTTTTATTTTATCCAAGAATTTACCAAAAATAATTCTTAAATAAATCTATCCAGTTTCCAATTTTACTCCCATTCCATAAGTACCCCCCAACAAGCTCAAGCTTTTATTAATTCCAATATGCATTCCAAAATCCAGTTTTTTAATTGTTTCTTCCAAATAGGCCTTTCCAATCCAAATTTCTAATTTATTCCAAATTATAAAATAGTTAATTATTATCATCGGATTAGTCATCAAGTAATAGGCTTAGATAATTTAAGCTATTTCTTACCTTTTCAAAGCTTCGCCTGAGTATGAATAAATGATTTGGTTTTGGTTAATTTACACTTGAATTTTAACCTTTAAAAACCTGTGATATATTTAAGCCCACTTATAAACTTAATATTCAGTCCTATAAAATGGTGCAATGCAAACTCTTTTATTTTATTGAATAGAATTCATGCTAAAAATAATAATAATTCAATTTCTATTACTTTACATTTATTAAAATTAAGATTCAAATATAATTCTATATTTCTTTTTAAATTATATATAAATTCGATTTTCTGTCAACTTTATAATATAGCAAGCCTTATTGTGTTTAATGGATAAAAAAAATTGAGGCAAGGCTATATAATTCAGAAATTTATAACAAAATTTGTTTAAAAAATAGAAAAAGACAATATACTAAGCGAATAGTTTAAAGCGATAACAAGGTGAAGAGTAAGAAACTGTTGGATAGCTAAATTCGAAAATTAGAATAATTTTGAATAATATTTCGCTTTAAATTTTTATAGAAAACAATTTTTTATAACTCAACAAATAGAAGGTAATTTTCAGATTTTAAGAGGTTCATTATAAAATATGAAAGAGTTGGTATACGATTGATGTTTGAGGGAAGACCACTGTCAATGCAACAGGTGATCAGTCTAAGAGGAAAAGGAAAACTATTGAGTATCATTTGAAAATAAATAAATTATTATTATTATATTCATCCATTTTTCATCCTCACATATATTTATTCAAATATTGGATCTACTCATTAGTTAAAAGCTTTTTATTTTTCATATTTATCCTTCATGATAATATTTTGATTTAAAAATGTTAATATTAAAAATAACCTAATTATTAGCTTGTTTCCCTATTAAATTTCTAACAATATGTTGAATATCTAATATTTTTAAACTTAAGATTGACTCCTTTTTTACTACATTTGTTTTTGTAAATGCCATTCTCTATTGGTAATGCAATCTTTCTTCAGGGGTATATATAATATTATCTAGATTTGTATTGACTTTCATGAGATTCGTGATTAATATTTTAATGATCTCATTATACAGTAGTCATCCATCAATTGAAGAGAACTTATGGTAAAATTAATTGATCTAGCCAGATTGATTTGGTTTAAAATATAAACTTTAAACTTTCTATAAATGTAATTTGATTATATTTTTTCATCATTTATCAAATTATAGTTTTGAAAATAATAAAATAATAAGAAATTAGTATTATAATAAGCATAAGATAATAATTCAATTGAATTATTATAAATTTTTATGAAGTTTATCTATGCTTTAATACTTGATGTTATAATTTCTAAAAGTTTAGCATTATAAAATTTTTCTAAAACTAATA